GAACCAGGAGACTGGCAAGAGATGGTGCAGTGGGCTTCCTGGCACACAAAGATAGAAAGCTGAGCATCTTCAGACAGGAGGCTTGCTGGTGGAGTGGGGTGCCTCTGGGCACTTATCAGTGGAGCTAAGCAGCTTTGTAACACTTGCCTGAGCAGGGCAGAGGCTGTATCAGCCCAAGAGACCCAAGAGACCCAAGAAGCCAAGGGCCAAAATGCCAAGGGACAGGGAGGGGCCTGTCTGTGGCCATGGCCAAGAAGCTGTCCTGACTGAAGTACCGTATCCTGAGTCATTCTTGATCCTGAATTGTAACCTGTTAGTTCCCTAAGAAACCCCATAACTGTGAGTATGTTCTGTGAGTTCTTTGTGGCCACTGCAATGAATTATCGCACCCAGCAGAGAAGTAGAGAGTGCTGTGGGAGGGACTTGTGTCAGAATTGGTAAAAAGATTGCATAGAGAAGATATGTCTGATCTCTGCCTCATAGGAATCAGCCTTCGGTTGTTGATCTTGAGTCTCCTTTCCCCTTCTGAAATCAGAGGTCAGATGTCCCTGCCACACCCTACACCATTCTTTCAATGTTACAACTGGTTCCAAGTAAAATTAAAACACACACACACATATAGGTCATTAAGAATGCTGTTAATAATTTACGAATAGATGCAAAACTGATCAGTATCTGTCATAGGCTGAGTTCTCTAGAGAAGTAAAACCAGTGAAGCATGTATATATATATATAGAGAGAGAGAGAGAGAGGGAGAGAGAGAGGGAGAGGGAGAGAGAGGGATTTACATCAAGAAAATGGGTCATGTGGTTGTAGAGGCTGGAAAGTCCCAACTCCGTGGTTCAGGCATTGGGCTGGAGGCTTCTCCTGACTCACGTAGCTGCAGGGGCTGATGAACCCAAATTGGCAGGTAAAATGGCTAGCTGCTGGCTCAAGTCCCAAGAACCGGAGGGCAGATGATGAAAAGCCAAATGCACGATCCAGAGCAAAGCAAAAGCCAGCTAGCTTTGCCAGAAAGTCTATATGTATTAGATGCAGGCTACACCTCCAAGCAAACTGCCTTTCATCTGATCAGCTGCTCATAGCAGATCTCATCATGGATGTGATTGCATTATATCAGATCTCATCATGGAGATGATTACATCATTACATAACTGCCAAACCACTGAGAATAATGGACCAGTCAAGTTGATGCACAACTTTAACCATCACAGTATGTGTCATGGAAATGAATTGTGTCCCCCCAAAATATGTGTATCATTTTGGCTGGGCCATGACTCCCAGTACTGTATGATTGTCCACCATTTTGTCATCTGATGCGATTTTCCTATGTGTTGTAAATCCTATCACTATGATGTTGATGCGATGGATTAGCAGCAGTTATACTGATGAGATCTACAAGATTAGTTTGTGTCTTAAGCCAATCTCTTTTGAGATATAAAAGAGAGAAGCAAGCAGAGAGACAGGGGGACGTCATACCACCAAGAAACAAGAGCCAGGAGAATAGCACATCCTTTGGACCCGGGGTCCCTGCAGCTGAGAAGCTCCTCAGTCAGGGGAAGATTGATGACAAGGACCTTGCTCCAGAGCCAACACAGAGAGAAAGCCTTCCCCTGGAGTTGATGCCCGGAATTCAGGCCTCTAGACTACTAGACTATGAGGGAATAAATTTCTCTTTGTTAAAGCCATCCACTTGTGGTATTTCTGTTATAGCAGCCCTAGATAACTAAGACAGTACCCAAGGATCAATAATTAATCTACCAGAGATTAAATAAGTGAAGGGAATGCTGAAATGTAGGGGCTGTGAATCATACTCATGGTAGGCAGGCTATCTCTTTTTGCAGGTAGTAAAGACAACAGGGGAAATCCAAATAACTGGAATTCTGTAACAGGTAGGCCTTAACAGTGGTAATTATAACAATAACTATGTGTATTAAATACATAAATATTGTTGAGTGCTTTTTATGTGTCACTTTATTTAATACAGGAGCAACATGAGTAGCTGTAATTATTATGCCCATTGTTCATATGTGAGAACTTGGGGGCTCTGATAGCTTCCACCACCATACTCAGGACCCTCCTTCAGGGTTATTGTGATTCTTGTGTGTTCATCTGTCTTCTACTAGAAAGATTTAAAGACACTCCTTAAGAAGTTCAGCTCACCCGTGCTGTCTTCCCACTCTCTGCCTGCACACACACAGAGGCACATATGCCCCAGAGTATGTGCTTTAGAACCTAGACGGAATGGCCGCCCAGAACCAGTGATGTCTCACCTCAGCCTCTGTCCCATCCCCTCCACCTTGGGGGCAGTCAAGAACACTGCATTTACTTGGAGAACATTGCTTTAATGTGTAGGACCCTGGTGACTTTGACTGGGAGTCTCTGTCACTTAGGGTGGATTTGAGGAGTGAGTAGCTTGCTCCAGTGGAGGTGCAATTGCCAAAAGAGAACAGTGTCCTTTCACTCATCTCAATTAGAGAAGCAGGAGAACACATGTGGCCTCTGTTGAAGTACCAGATTCACCACAAGCAGGTTCCACTTAGCAGTGGGTGTCATCTAGCCTCTTCCCCAAGCCCACTGAGTTAGATTGGACTGGACTCCTCCCCTTTGAGGCACTAGTAACCCCAAGACACTGAGGAGCTGAAGGATGCATAAAGGGGAAAGGAGGAGCTCAGAAAGGGATAGAGTGGACTTCTGTTCCCCCCTGCTGCTGATAATTGAGCCCTGTGTCTTGATGGCTGGCTGAGCCATGATATTTGCATCCTGACTTGTTTAGAGGGACCAGGTAGCGCAATCTCATCCAGCTCTTTTCAGTTGGCCTTTTTTGGGTCTTGTCAGGGTGTCCATCCTGCACCCCAGGATGTATGTGCCCTGCAGGGCAGTGTGGTGAAGGCCCTGATGAGGCTTTCCTGCACTGGGTTGTCAGAGGGGTGTGGGAGGTTGAAGGAAGGGACACAAGGGGAGCCTTGAGGAGGCTGGTGACTGAGAATATTTGTTGCTTCTGGATGACTGGAGACAGAAACAGGCATAGCCCCGACCCGCTGACACCATTAATGTAGGCCCTGAAGGCCTTTAGCGATAGGGCTAGCAGGGTGTAGAGGACTGGTGTGGGGCCCCCGAGTCCTGTGAGAGGAGCTGCATGGTCTGGGATGAGGGCCTGACCCAGAAGAGAGGCTTGATAATAAGTTAGTGAATAAACGAATATCAAGAAATAGCTCTGAAATACTTCCACATATCAATAATGTCATGAGGTATTCTCTGCTTCCAGTGAGAGCAAAAGAGACTTTAAAGTATAACTGGAGGAAGGCAGACATGATATGAGGAAGAATTTACTGATTTGGAGAGGGGGCAGGTTACACTCTCAGGCAGGGGAAAACCCAGGAGCTCGTTGACCTGTTAAAAGGAATAGATCTAGCTTCCTTTCAAGGACAAGGTTGCTCTGTGGTACACTGCCCTGGTCCTTCCTACTCTGGTCCAGAGGAAAGACAGATGGTCCTTGGATTCCCTGGGGCCTGTGCCTGAAGGGCATGGAAGGGCTCAGAAGGAGGAGGCACTGGGACAGCTGTGCCCACTGGCCAGAGCTCTGTAGGAGAGGCCACTGAGGAAGACTGACTGGCACCCTCTCTGGGAATATTTAGGGAAGTGCTTTCTTGGTTGCAGGGACAGTGGTGCTCACCAAATACTAGTCTATCCTCCACCTTTACCCCTGCTCACTCCACACCCCCCGACACCCACATTTTGTAGTCCTTGGCAGATAGGAAGGCCCTTGTGACTAGTTCGGACAAAAAATATGAGCAGAGATTATGTTACTTCTGGACTAACGCAGTGAAAACCCCATATGTGATTCTCCCATCTCCCTTTCCTGCTGTGGGGGCTGAGGAGGCTGTGAGGACACTGTGGGCTCCATATGGTGCAGCTACAAGATGGTGGAGCCTCCATCCATGTGTGTCAGGATCCCCGTCCTGTACTATCTTTCATGGGATGTGTAGTGTGAGCAAGATATAAGCTAGCCTTATTCTAATCAACTGAGTATTTGTAATTGTTTGTTACCACAGCATACCCTAGACTATCCTGACTAATACACTGTCTAGGAGAAAAGGGAAAGTAAAGAAACCTTCATTATCTGTTGCTGTGAAACAAATTACCCAAACTTAGTTTAGGCTCAAAAGAGCAACGTTTATCATCTCACATTTTCTGTGGGTCAGGGATCCAGGCGTGGTTTAGCTGAGTCCTTTGGCTCAAGGTCTCACACAGGCTGCAGTCAAGCTTTTGGTTGGGGCACTCTGGGCTCAACTGGGGAAGGAACTGCTTCCAGTCTCACTCACATGGCCTTTGGTAGGATTCAGTTTCTTGTGGGCTATTGGACTGAGGGTCTCAGTTCCTCCAAGGATGTTGGCCAGAGGCTGTCCTCAGTTGCTTATCATGTAGGCCTTCCATAGTGCAGTTAACAATATGGCAGCTGGCTTCATCACAGCAAGCAAAAGAGAGAGGAGAGAGAGAGTGTTGGAGCAAGAATGAAGTCACAGTATTTTATATCGTAATACTGGAAGTGACATCCCAACAGTTTTGTTGTTTCTATTTATTAGAGGCAAGTCCCTAGGTGCAGCCCACAATCAAAGGGAGGGACTAAAAAAGGATGTGAATATGAGGCAGCAGGAATCTTTAGGATCCATTTTAGAAGCTGTCTATACCAGCTTTGTACTTAGTATGTGCTAGAAACTGTGCTAGGTGCTTTTGGTCCGTTCTCTGTTTTAATTCATACTATCATTATGAAGCAGGTAAAGAAAGTAAAGGTTAGCAAGTTTAAGTAACCAGTTCATAGTTACACTCCACTAGAGCCAGAACTTGATCCCAGATTTTCTTCAAATTGATTGTATGAGATAGCCTTCTTAGAATCAAGGAAGTATATTGGGTGGATTTTGTAAAAAAGATGAGTTCTGTAATTTTCTCATTTGTTCTTATGAGAAAACACTCACATTTCCTGTTTCCTAATGTCCTAGGTGTCCGGAGCACTGGGGCCAAGGGTTCTGGAACAAAGGATTCTGAAGCTTTTGTTTCTTTGAAGGAGATCCAAGGAGGTTCTGTCTTGTTTCATGTGATCATGAAGCCAGGAGTAGATCCAAGAGCAGTGGTGAAGGAGATTACATGGAGTTTTGGTCATTTGTCAGACTACAGAGTCATGCTGCATGTCTACAATGGGACAGACTCTCCAAAATGGGTCAGTCTCCATGACAAGTACAAGCAGAGGATCTATATGCCCAATATGACAACCCTGATGATTGAGAACCTGAACCTTGGGGACAGTGGGGAATACCAGGCTCGCGTTACCTTACCTGAAGGAAGAGAATATATTCAGACGTTCCGTCTCATTGTCTATGGTGAGTGACAACCCCCTCACCCCAGTCTCATGGCTTACCTCCTTCTTTTGCCCATGGGAGCACCACATAAGCCCCGCTTTGCAGGACTGTACCCAGATACCAGTCTTCACATTCTATTTTCTCTGCCGAACAGGGTGAGTTCCCCACAAGTGGAGAGCAGAGCTGAGATTCATACCTGGGATAAAAATCACTTCAGTGTTTTGTTAAAAAAGAGGGGAAATTTGACAGAAATGGAAATTTTTGCAATAACATTGTTTCTATAACAACTAAGGATACTTAATTTATGTGTTAATTTTCTATAGCTGCTGTAACAAATTGCCACAAACTTAGTGGCTTAAAAAAAATTGTTATCTTGCAGGTCTGTAGGTCAGAAGTCCGACACAGGTCTCACTGGGCTAAAAGCAGGGCTGTGTTTCTTTCTGGAGGCTCCTGGGGAAATTGTTTCCTTGCCCCCAACCCCTTTCTTTAGCAGAAGCTTCTTTAAAAAAAAATTGAAAATATTTTTTTATTTAGTGCAGTTTTAGGTTTATAGAAATATTACACAGAATTCCCATGTATCCTCTAACCCCCTGCAGAGTATTTCTCCTATTAACATCTTGCTTTCTGATGGTACGAGTTTATAATTGTTAAACCAATATTGATTCATTAACTAAAATCCATAGTTTACGTTTCATTAAGGTTCACTAGTTGTGTTGTAGAGTCCTATGGTTTTGACAAACGTGTATTACGTGTCCACCATTACAATATTACATAGAATAGTTTCACTGCCCTGAAAGTGCCCTGTGCTCCACGTATTCATCCCTCCCTCCTCCTCCTGGCCTCTTGAAAACCACTAATCTTTTTACTATCTTTATAGTTTTTTCTTTTCCAGAACATCATATAGTTGAGATCATACAGTATGTAGCTTTTTTGGACTGGCTTCTTTCACTTAGCAGTTATGTATTTAAGATTTCTCCATGTGTTTCCATGGCTTGATAGCTCATTTCTTTTTATTGCTGAATAATACTCTATTGTGTGGATGTTCCACAGTTTGTTTATCCATTCACCTATTGAAATACATCTTGGTGGTTTCCAATTTTTGGCATCTATAAATAAAATTGCCATAAACATTTGTGTGTAGGTTTTTATGCGAACATACCATTTTTGTCTTATTTTGGTAAATGCTTAGGAGTGCAATTGCTAGATCAGATGGTAAGCCTATGTTTAGCTTTGTAAGAAATTACCAGACTGACTTCCAAAGTGTACCATTCTGCATTCTCACCAGCAATAAATGAGAATTTCTGTTGTACCACATCCTCTTCAGCATTTGGTGTTGTCGGTGTTTTGGATTTTAGCCATTTCTAATAGGCATGTAATGGCATCTAATTGCAGTTTTGGTTTGCAATTCTGAAAAAGAAGAAGACTCTCAGTGTGATGGATTGATGCAGTGGCTGCAACAATGGGCTCCAATATAGCAACAATTGTGAGGATGGTGCAGGACTGGGCAGTGTTTGTTCTGTTGTACATAGAGTTGCTATGAGTAGGAAATGACTGGACGGCACCTAACAACAACAATACATGACATTTGACGTTGAACATTTTTTCGTATATTTATTTGTCATCCATATACCTTTTTTTAGTGATGTTTCTATTCAGATCTTTAGTCATTTTGTAATTGGTTTGTTTGTTTTGTTATTGTTGAGTTTTAAGTGTTCTTTGTATTTTTTGGATGTAAGACCTTTATCAGATACGTGTTTTGTATATATTTTCTCCCAATTCGTGGCTTGTTTTTCTATTCTCTTAACAATGTCTTTCTAAAGCAGAAATTTACTTTTAACGAAGTCCAACTTGTCAGTTTTTTTGTTTGGTGGATTGTGCTTTTGGTGTTGTATCTAAAAAGTCACCAGCAAACCCAATGTCACCTAGATTTTCTCCTATATTATTTTCTAAAAATTTTATAGTTTTGCACCTTACAGTTAGGTTTATGACCAATTTTGAGCTAATTTTTGTGAAAGGTAATTTCTGTGTCTAGATTAATTTTTTTGTATACAGGTGTCCATTTGTTGAAAGGACTATCTTATCTCCATTGAATTACCTTGCTACTTTGTCAAAGATCTGTTGACTGTATTTGTGTGTGTCTATTTCTGGATTATCTCCTCTGTTCTATTGATATACTTGTCTGTTCCTTCACCAATAGCACTCCATCTTGATCACTGTAACGTTATAGTATGTCTTGAAGTCAGGTAGTGTCTGGCATTCAATCTGTTCTTCCTCAATGTTGAATTGGTTATTCTGGGTCTTTTCCCTTTCCATATAAACCTTAGAATCGGTTTGTCAATAGACACAAAACAACTTACTGGGATTTTGATTGGGATTGCATTGAATTTACAGACCAAACTGAGAATAACTGACACCTTAACACTATTAAGCCTTTCTATCCATTGGGACCACCACTGTCTTTCTGTGGGTTATACTGTGGTGGCTTGCAGGTTGCTGTGATGCTGGAATATGCCCTTGTACTTCAAATATTAGCAGGGTCACCCATGGTTGACAGGTTTCAGCAGAGTTTCCAGACTAAGACAGACTAGGAAGGAAGGCTTTGTGATGTACTTCCAAAAATTAGCCAGTGAAAACCTTATGGATGACAACAGAACACTGTCTGACTCACTTTCTTTTGACACATCATTAGGTAGTATCAACTGCTGAAGGATAATATCATGTTTGATGAAGTAGAGGGCAAGGGAGATCCTCACTGAGATGAATGGGCACAATAATCACCATGAAGGACTTGAACATGCTGGCGATCATGAAGATGACGTAGGACCGGGCAACATTTTGTTGTGTTGTACATAAGGTCACCATGAGTCAGAGTTAACATTGCAGCATCCATCCATCCATCCATCCATCCATCCATCCATCCATCTCTATCTCTGTTGGGAACATAGAACTCCTCTCCATTTATTTAGATAGTCTTTGATTTCTTTCTTCAGAGTTTTGTAGTTTTCCTCATATACATCTTGTACATATGTTGTTTTATATCTAAGTATGTCTTTTTTTGGTGCTAATGTAAGTGTAGCCTTGGTGGCAAAGTGGTTAAGACCTTGGCTGCTAACCAAAAGGTCAGCAGTTCAAATCCACCAGCTGCTCCTTGGAAACTCTATGGGACAGTTCTACTCTGTCCTATAGGGTTGCTATAAGTTGGAATCGACTTGATGGCAACTTTTTTTTTCTTCTAAATGTAAATGGTGTTGTGTCAAGTTCCAGTTGTTCATTGCTGGCATATAGAAAATCAACCGACTTTTGTGCATTAATCTTGTATCCTGCTACCTTACTTTTTTTTTTTTTTTAATTGTACTTTAGGTGAAGGTTTACAGAACAAATATTTTCTCATTAAACAGTCAGTACACATATTGTTTTATGACATTGGTTAACAACCCCACAACATGTCAACACTCAGCCTTGGAGGACCTTTTTTTTTTTTTTGGTGAAATGGACATAGCCAAAGATATACCATTTCAAAAATTTCTGCGTGTAAAATTCAGTGAAATTTATTACGTTCTTCTAGTTGTGCTGCTATTCTCACTTTAGATGAAGATTTACAGAACAAAATAGTTTCTCATTAAACAGTTAGGACACATATTGCCCTATGACAATGGTTAAGAACTGCACTACAAGTCAACCCTGTCCTTACTCAACCTTGGGTTCCCTATCACCAGCTTTCCTGTCCCCTTCTGCCTTCTAGTCCTTGTCCCTGGACTGCTGTGCCTCATTAGTCCTGTTTTGTTTCATGAGGCTGTCCAATCACTAGCTGAATGGTGAACCTAGGGAGTGACTTCACCACTGAGCTATAAGGGTGTCTGGGGGCCATACTCTCAGGGTTTCTCCAGTCTCTGTCAGGCCAGTAAATCTGGTCTCTTTTTTTGTGTTAGAATTTTGTTCTACATCCTTCTCCAGCTCTGTCCAGAACCCTCTGTTGTGATCCCGGTCAGAGCAGTCAGTGGTGGTAGCCAGGCATCTTCTAGCTGTACTGGACTCAGTCTGGTGGAGGCCTTGGTCTGCTACCTTACTATTATTACTTATTAATTCCAGGAATTGTTTTGCCACTTCTTTGGGATTTTCTACACAGATAATCATTTCATTTATGAATAAAGGTAATTTTATTTCTTCCTCCCAATCTGTATACTTTTTTTTTATTACCTTTTCTTGTCTAATTGCATAAGCTGTAACTTCCAGCATGATGTTGAATAAGAGTGGTGAGAAGGGACATTCTTGTTTTGTTCCTGATCTTAGGAGGAGTGTATCTATTTTCTCACTACTAGATATTAGATATGATATTAACCGTAGGTGTTTTGTAGATGTTCTTTATTAAGTTGAGGAAGTTCCTCCCTGTCTTAGTTTCTTAGTGCTGCTGTAACAAAAATACCACAAGTAGGTGGTTTTAAAGAACAGAAATTAATTTTCTAACAGTTCAGGAGGCTGGAAGTCCAACTTCAGGGCATCAGTTATAGGGAAAAGTCCTTTTCTATTTCAGCTTCTAGTATCTGGCAATCCTAGGAGTTTCTTGGCGTGTAGACTCATCTGACTTTATCGTCATCAGATACTATCTGTTTTCCTCCGTTTGTGCTTGCTTTTGTGTCAATGCTGGTCTTTGTATTACTCAGAAGTGACTAGGTGTAGGACACAGCATTATTAACATAACAAAGAAACCCCTATTCCCAAACGGGATTACACTCACAGATAAAAGGGTTAGGATTCCAACACATATTTTGTGGGGACACAATCAATCCATAACATTCCACCCCTTGGACCTCCAAAATTCATGTCTTATAAAACACATTCATCCTATGATATCATCCCAAAAGTCTTATCCCATTCCAGCAACAGCTCTAAAAGCAAACTCTCATCTTCTGAAACATATAATCAAGTATGACTCTGGGTGTGTTCCATTCTAGGGCAAAATTTCTTTCCATCAGTGGACCTGTGAAAGGTAGAATACAAGTTATCTGCTTCCAAAGTACACT